CACTTATAGGCCCAGGTAGACCCTGATGAATTGCTGAAATAAGTATCGTCTATAACATATAGAAATTTTGAAGTAGTTTGTAATTCATTTGCGTCGTGAACTCAAGATACAATAGAATCATGCTAATTTTACAAAAGAAGATCAACTAGAACAAATATCACGACCAATCTAAACAGTCGTATACGATATCATTAATCGATCGGATATGGCGGCATTTATGATCATGTTTATACAACGTCGTAAAAAATATCACACTTTTTTCATTGTTTAATATACTGCCCATTTAGGTATACAGCGCTATTGAATTTGGGATATTATCCAATAGAAAATTTTTTTCCATCGACAGACAACGTCACTTTTTTTCTATTTTTTATCAAATGCCCTCAAATAGATTAAGTAAATGTTTTATAACTTCTTCCTTATATATACTTCTTGAGTGACACTCATTCGACTATTAGTTAAAAATGAAAGATAATATTAGCTGTAAATTCTCTATCTTGTATTTCATTCATCTCTTTTTTTCTCTGTGTTCCATGTAATTAGTTATATCCGTTGTAAAGAAAAAGAAGTTATTTGTCTACCTATAATGCATTTCTTTCATTAGGTGATATCTTCTCGCATATTATATACAAAGGCAACACAAAGATTTCTGTGTATCAAAAACCTTTTTATCTAACGATGAATTCAACAGAAGAGGAACCAGGTCCCATCGAAAATTATTATCTAGTTTGTTCATTATCTGCAATATTCGCTGTTACTGCTGTAGCCATATCTATTACAATATTAATAATAGTACAAAGAACAAAACCTCGTCTTCATACCGTCAGACATTTACTCATGTGTAATACATGTATTGCATCGATTCTTTATTGTATTGTACAAACAAATAATTATATATTTCTTATATTTTTCCCTTCGGTAACAAGTGATATCTCTTGTCGATGGCGTGGCTATTTTTCTTATATCACCATTTCTGCAATTGCTTACTCATTTCTTATTCAAGCAATATCACGTCTTTTTATTGTTGTTTTCTCAACAAAATACAAACATTTAATTACATTCAAAACACATTATATTCTTATAATTATTCAATGGTTTACTGTTATAATCATTCCAATACCAACAATAATAACAAAAGATATTTATTATCGTCCTAATAAACTTTGTTGGGTACCATTGAAATATATAATTCATGTTTCTTATGGATATATTGCTTATTATACAATACCGGCATTATCTGTTGGTACGATCTATATTTTTATTTACTATCAAGTTAAACGAGCAAAAAAA